CGTAGATCTAAGTTGTATGAAAGGCTGTTTCGGAGGATGAAAAACTCAGTTGGAAGTAAGAAAAGAAAAAAAGTCGGGGAAACAAGAAACAACTCTTATAGCTGGGTGGCTGAAAAAGGTGCCATCACAAACATTGTGGCCCAACAGCTCACTTATTGGCATCAACTACAAGAATACTTCTCCACCACCTAGCTCTATCAAGAGCCACATTGCGAGTAGGAAAGTCTAACAAACCAAAACCAGTCCAACTAGGAGTCTAGGACCCATATTAGAGCATTGAAGAAGTGGAGGAAACTCTCCTATTCAAAATTCATGTTTCTGCTCCTAGTCACACCACACAAGAAATTTAGGATGAACTCTATCTAGATGCCTCTTTGCTACCTCTACAGAACCTAACATCCATTCTATTCGAATAAGGTAAATGACCTTGGCATAACCCAAGGCACCCAAAAGATTGTAAACACAATATCCTAGATAAGCCAGTGGCCAGGAAATAGGAAAGGAGATAATCGACTGTCCACATCCATATTACTGATCCTGCATCTTCTAGTTATTTTCAGAAGTTGAAAAACAACCACCACAACTTTTAATCAACATTCTAAAGATCATCTTACCTTGGCCACCGAAATTGTGAGGTGGAAGATCTGTGGTGAAATATGCAAATCCCATCTTCTTGAAAGCCGGAGAACAGATTTTTGCAGCAGCTAATCTGATGTGAGCCTTGTCAGTTTCACTGCATTAAATAAAATGCACAGCACATGTATAGAACCCTTGTGGCTTTTGAATTTGGGCAACATGATCACTAGAAAATCCCATAATAAGCGTAAAATAAATGAAAGTAATACAACTTTGTTATCCAGGTAAACTATACACCATAAATAAGGGCAGCATAACTAGAAATTCTGGACCTGTTTATGTCAAGTAGTACCTCTCTCCCCCTCTCCTCACTATTGTGTTATAGTGTCTAGAACCACCTATAATGCACATACTCTAAGCCAACGCCCAAACAAGCTGGGTTCAGTTAGAAACTGTAGCCAGCGTGTACCATAACCCAAAGGTCCAACACTTGAAATTAAAAACAACTGCTTGGTTCACTTAGAAACTGTTGAAAGATTTAAAATATTAAATTTACACCTTCTCCAACAGTTTAAGCTTTTGGAGCAGATGGTTGCTAACATGGTATCAAAGGCCAAGGTTTAGAGTTCAAACCTCACTGTCATACTATTAAAAAATTGAAACGCACGTGTTGGACTAAAAAAAAGACCACATGTGAGGGGACGTGTTGAAAGATTTAAATATTAAATTTACACCTTCTCCAATTACTTAAGCTTTTATAGTAGATGGTTGTTCACATAAATATGTTGACAAAAATATAAGTACAAAAGATAAATCTAAACAACAGCAGCAGTCTAGTGGCCATTGGCACTGCACAGCAACACCTCCAGCTGTATAATTATTAAGAGTAAAAGCCAACAATATATATACACTTTGTTTTGAAAGACAGGACCGGTTCTCAATGCCAATAATAAATTTTTACAATGATGCGAAGTGTTTGACGTAACACACGAGAATAATGGAGAATAATGTCTTACTCGTAAAAAAAATGTGAATCCAATTGCACAAAATGAGATTCCTTAGGTAGTAAAAGACTACACAGTTGTAAAAGACTATACCTAGAAATGTTAATCCAATTGCACAGAATGAGATCCCTTAGGTAGTAAAAGACTACACCTAGAACCCATTGGTGAGAAAAATTTGTTAGTAGACTTAGATGGTCTGGACATATACATAAGAGACCTAGTGACGCACCGGTTAAAAGAGGAAAGTTAGTTGTAATAGAAGGTAAGAGGCGGAAAGAACGACCAAAAATAACACGGGATGAGGTTATTTAAAATGATTTTAAAAAGGCTAAATATAGTAGGTAAATTGGCATGTAATAGAATAGCTTAGAGAGGGAGAATTCATGTGGCTGACCTAATTCATATGAGATTAAGTCAAGGATGATGATGATGATGATTAATTGATTGATTGACTGACTGTAAATAGACTTTCTTGGTCTTGCCTTTGTTCTTGGGCTGCTCTCCCCTTTGCACACTTCTAAAGAAATTGTAAATATCCAAACAAAACAAAAAAATCTCAGGCTAGGTTCAGTTAGGCTGGTTTCAGAACGACAGACTTGCAGCCCTAAAAGAGACTTACAAAGTGAGAGTGTGGGACAATATGTCGTACCCAATTTTATATTGCGATTGTGTGGATCGAGCGATCCTCTCTATAAGACCACCTCTTCCTCCCTTGGTAGACTCATGAAGAATATTAAAACTAGTTGATGAGGGTTTCCAACACATTGTAGTACAAGAACCAACTATGGAAGTGTAGCTCAATTGCGGTAAACTAACGAGAATTGGTGTTGATTGACCGTCAATTAATGTCGTAATATGTAAGTATGGTGTGGATTGATCTCTTATTATTTTGCATGAACATGTAGGAGTGATGGTAAACCATATAAGTCCTGGTGTTATTGCTCACTCAATCATTGTTCCTTTTTTTTAATCGATTTTCCTCTACTTGGTTGGACAATCACAAACAATTCACGCAGAAAATATGCATTTTAATCTTGGCACCTTAAACATGAACTTGCATCTTAACACAAGACAACACCGTTTTCTGCCATTATACCAAGTAAATGAGAAAGGCAAAACAAAAGGTTGGTAGCAAATAAAGTAATCTAGAACTTTATTTTTTCCTTTTCCTCATTTCTGTATTATATTGTATTCTTTCTTACGGCATGGGAAATTACTAAAACCGAAGACAGAATTGTGGCTTCATGCAAATTAAAGCATGATGCATAACCAGAAGGCAGAATTAGAAATTCAGCAATCCTCCAAGAAGTTAAAAGAAATAAATAAAGCAGTAGGGGTCTATGAATCTTTAGTGAGCAAGGAAGTAGCTAGTTTAGAAGTTTTCAAATCGTTAATTTCTTTAACAATCCTACCATGAGATTGTACAGTCAGAAATGTCTCCCTTCTGCAGCATTTGCAACAAAACATCCAACAATTTGTTAATATTGTGTCCAACAAGAGTTCCTCGATGTGGCAAGAAACTTTTGACGAGTGCTTTAAGCCCAAAAATCTGCAAATGGAAGCCCATTAAATTCAAAACAAAAGAACAAACCAATGCAGCTAAATTCAAAGTTTGGCAGCCAGATACAAGGAAAAGAGCCCTTTTTTCCAGCAAGTTTAAAATTGGCATTCCTGGCATAGTTAATCCTTAGCTATAGCTTTTTTATTATACTTTTGCAGAAACCACAACAGTTATGTGAAGAAAAAAAAAACAAGGTCAAAAGAACATCAATCATGTAGAAGATAAACTGAGCGGCCAACTCGAGTTCCTGGAGACAGAATAAAATGTTTCCTCCGAACGGATAGAAAACTTTTTTGCACACTATCCACATGTATTCATTGTTTTACACCCATATCAGGGAAGAATTTATGGAAACAGAGTCGCCTCATTTAACATTATGGGAAAGACAACCACTACAGAGCAAACATTTTTGAAAGAAATTATGTGATATCAACAGTTGAAGATATTAACTTAGGCTTAAAAACATATTACTAACTTAACCAACTATCACGGAACTTATCTGAAAAAATAAAATAAAATTGGAACAAGTCCGTCTGAATTCATTGTGAGAAATATATAACAAGTGATTGAGGCTTAGTAAGGGTGGCAAAATTTTATACAACTTGAACACAGCACAGGGCTGACCTTAATCGTTCTTGTCATAATCTTGTCAACCCGTTAATTAATCGTGTCATGTTTGTATTTTTTTGGGGCTCAAGTAGTTTAACCCAATGAGACCCATTTAATTAATTGTGTCAGTTTAACTCAGTTAACCTGTAACCCATTTAATTAATACTGACAAATATATAACTCAGTATTTGAACCCAATTACTATAGACGGCTAATACTCATCCTAAAGTGAATCCTTCTACCTCCCAAATAGAGCGATAGTACTAATTATATAAATATCCCTACTAACAACCAGAAAACTAAGAAGAGAATAATAGCTAAAATTTCGAAGAATTCTAGTTGCTATAGCATTCTCAACATCTCTTTACCATAACTGAAAGCCCCCAACCTTTTGCTGATATCCCTGTTAGTCCTTAAAACTTTCTTCCATACACTACACTATCATTGATCGGTCGTGTTCATGTCGTGTCAAGAAATGGGCATCCAGTTAAATGGATAGACACAAACACGACACTATTATCATTCGTATCAAGAATCTTGATACGAATACGACACGATTATTACACAACTAACATGTGACAACCGGAATTTTTAGAATTTTAATTATTTCATAATTTATAGTTATTGTTTTTTTATTGGAGACCTGCGCAATTGAAGATTTTGGGTTACTAATATTTCGTTAGTGTTGATTTTGGAAAATTAATTTTTTATTTAATTATTTATATATTAAAGTTAGTGGATTTTGACGAGATATGTAACCGTATGCAGATATCGGTGATGATGGAGCAGGGGGACGGAATTGATGGGTTTGAAATTGGTTTCATTATTATATATATCTTATCTTATTGCTAAATGGAGCAGCGAAATGGGAAAGGAAAGAAGGAAGCATTTGGTAAGGTGTGTTTGGCAGGCCCAGTAGGAGAGTTTTTTAATGGTTTGAATTTGTTGTTGCGGTATTTGATATATATATATATATACACATATATTTATGTTGCACCTAATTGAAGTAGAAAAGGGCAGGTCGGCAGAATGTGGAAAGAAAGAAAAGTAATGGGGCGAGGCCCACTAAAAACTTTTTGGTCCAATTTTCTTTTTGTTTTGGTTTTGTTCACGTGGGATGTTGTTTGGTTGAGAGAGATATCAGAAGAAATGACAAGTAAGAGATAAGGAAATGTAAGGAAAGAAAGAGATGGTGGTGGGACCCAGTGTACTTGTGGTTCAAATGTGATGATATTTTCTGATGGAAGGGGTATGGTGAGCAGTTGAGTGTCGGTGGAAAAGTCTTCAAATGCTGAGTGTATGTGCTTTGAGATTGTATGAGCAACAGAGATGGAAAAGTTGAGAAAGAGAGCCGAGACACACAGAGAGGGAAACAGAGTGAGTGAGTCGCGAGAAATACAGAGAGGGTCGAGATTGAGGAGAGAGAGAGAGAGCCGAGAGTTGTAGAGTAGGCCGGAGTCTGAGGCTTTGATAATCTAGCGAGAAAAATTCTTTTTTTAAGGTAGGGGTCTCTTATCCATATAATCTTGCACTTTTGTGAGTTAATTTTATTAATTAGTATCTTAACATGTTAATTTGTGTTGATTTTACTTTAAAGAGATTTAATTGTGTATATGAAGTATATGATTTTGTGTGTAGTTGATATTATGCAAATTAACGTACTTAATTTGAATTGATTATCTTGGAAATAATTTTATTATTGTAAATGAAATCTATGATTTTATGTATTAATTAAATTGTATGAAAAGCATGCCTAATGTAAATTTCCACGCCATGATGCTTAATATCTTACTAGAAATTGCTATGTGGAAGCATGTTAAATTGTGTAGTGAAAATTTATTTATTTTCATAGTAATGACAAGCATGTGTCATGCATTCATAGCATTGGATATGGAAAAATAACAAAATGATTTGAAGTGAATGAAAGAGGGGATTTTTGGGACAAAGTTTTGATTTAAGTGATTTATGAAAACCTGGTCGCCGCGGAGTCACCAAAGGGCCGTGGTGTTAATATAACCTAGATAGAATTAGGGAAACACCCTACCGTGGTTGAGCTATCTAGGTCCCAAATAACGCCGTGGGGGTACCAAGGGTCAGGGACAATAGCCAATCATTCTCTCGTGTCGCTACGGGGTCACCAATAGACGGGTTATATTAACAGTTTGAAAAGTGATGAATTTGGATTTTTGAAATGGGGAGCGACATACATAGCATTGCATTTATGGACGGTATTATTCGTATTGAATTTAAAAAGTAATGTTCTATTATTTTCCCACATCACATGACCCCACTTTCTATTATTCTATTCATTATTTGGATTCACGGAATTACAAGAGGTGTATCTTAAGCACCACCTACTGAGCAATTTGCTCACTCCTTATATTTAATATTTTTCAGGATATGGATGGCAAGTGGTGGACGACACTCCTCCACAAGGTTCGATGGGTTAGTAAACCGTTTTGACACACTTTGTAGTTATAATCTTATTTTATTATTATTACTTATTTATTTATTATTACTTATTTTTTTTATAAATCTGGAATGACACGTATAATATGTATTGACGTAAGAAAGAATGGTGTTGTCCCTAGTTGATCTCGGATTCGGATAAGGACCCGGTTAGCGATTCGGACCCTCGGGTTCGGGTCGTTACATAACATAACACATGTAACTCATTTAATATATGGGTCAATACTTGACACGACACGAAATGACTTGACAACACACGTTTAAGTCATTTAACACGAATACGAATACGACAGGTTTATCTGACACTTAGTTAAACGGCTTGATGGGTCAAACATGAACACGACACATTTAATTACCGTGTCAATACAGGTCGGCACAATTACGATCCAAATACAATTAAGCCAAACCCAAACCCAAACCCACTTATTCCATGTCATGTTAGCATGTTGTGTCAAATATCTCTACCCCTACTACCATTTAACTCCATTCATATAAGAGGCCATTACCCAATACTTATCCCACCTACGCAAGTGCTTAGAGGGGAAATTTGGGACAGTCCTAACCTTTAGCATTATATTGTACAAAGTGACAACTCTAAGGCTCAAACTTGAGCCCGTATACCGGGTCCATCCACATACTTGGAATGAAAAATTGATATATCCTGGGCCCCATTTAAATGACGAACAATATCCATCTTTCCATTGGTAAAGAAAACTACCATCTACTGGTCTTTTGTGAAGATAATCATTAAATGACCACAAAGGGGTTGACGATGAAGACTATTGCCTTAAGAACATAAAACTCGTCAAAAACTCACACCATTCGATTAATGTTGTTGTTGGAACCACTTTCCCAGCGGAGTGTATAAATGTATCTCCATATCCCAAAATGTTGCCTCATCTATGGTAGTGTTACAAAATAATCTTAGTTTTCATCTTGCCCTAGCATTACCCTTAATGTAAAACAAGTCAATCTTCATTATGCAGCATATGACAAGACAAAACCAACTTAGTTGGTTATGTCCAATGTATGCTACTTCAACCATTTTATGAATGAAATTGGATTTAGTTTTATCCTTTTGTGCCTTATAGAACATCTATCTCAACACCTGAACTTCGACCACACTCATTTTGAAAACATGTTCCCATGTGTTTTGCTAAAAATTGGACTCTAACCTCCCTATAAATTTGGCTTTTGCAACTATTGATTGAACTTTGGTCAAAATTGTTGTCAACCTCCCTTGCGGTTTGCTAAAAATTACAAAGACTTCCTAGCCGAAAGTGGTCATAGTACCGTCAAAATATTTAAGTGGAATTCCCATATTTCCCCTAATTGCAACAAAATGAAAAAGTTAGCCGTATATTCCTTTGCAATGACTTATATGTCAGTATATGATATGACATAAATGCCCTCACATAATTTGATCATATTGATATAAATCTATTATTAAATATATAACTAAAAGTTATATATATTAATATAGATATTAAATATCAATTTCACACTTTGAAACTTAAAAACATTCAAAATATAATTGAAAACTTTATGTATTTAATTTTTGGGTTGGATACCCACAAGCCCACCAACTAGTAGCAGAGTCAGGTCCCAAAGAGCTGCATGTGGACCCAAGATCGCCTAGCTGACGGGAGGACAGGAAGGCCAATGACGTTCCATCCACAAGGGAGAGCCTCGTTCAAGGGACCGGTGACATTCTATTCACCGGCGTGAGCCTTGTGCAAGGGGGGGATTGTTTGGTAGTTGAACGAGTCCCACATCGGTTAGAAAAGAAGGAAATCCGGGACAATTAGAAAAGATGAATAAATTTGGTACAATTACAAAAATGAGGGCATCCGAGTCCATGTAACATAGATTGTTCCTAATTGATTTATACATGGGTATTTCTTGTTCAATTGTACCTTATTTTGTTAATCTGTTCTGTTTATATTATGTTTTTGTGTATAATGTGGTAATTTGTACAGTGTATACTGTTGGGTATCTCTTTCGAGGGCAACAAGGAACAGGCTTTGTCGCTTCTTCATGCGACAGCAGAGGAGAGAGTAGGGGAAGTGAAGAAGAAGTCCAGAAGGAGGGGGAAAAGGATGAACGTTCGTGGTCTAAATGACCCAGATAAGAGGAAAGTGGTGAAGTTGGCGGTGAGAAAGTAGGGGGCTCATATGGTGTGTTTACAAGAAACGAAGATTGCCTCTTTGTCGAATAGGGTGGTTAGGAGTCTTTAGGGAGGTAGGTTTGTGGAGTGGGTGGCATTGGATGCTACAAGATCTTCTGGTGGTATCCTCGTTATGTGGGATAGGAGATTGTTGTCTCGAGTGGACATTTGGAAAGGGAGGTTCTCTATCTATTGTGTGTTTAATTTGGAGGACTAAGGTTTTAGATGGGTTTTTTCTGGGGGCCAATGGGTGATGGTGAGAGATATCTCCTTTAGGAGGAGCTCAGTCTTGTATAGGGGATGTGGCCTCTTCCTTGGTGTGTTGAAGGGGACTTTAATGCGGTCAGGTTTACGACAGAGATCTTTTGGTATGAGATAGACAGTGGTTATGTCACAGTTCTTGGATTTTATTAATGGACACCATCTTATTGACTTACCTTTGGAAGGTGCGATCTTCACTTGGTCTAACAACAGGAATTTGCCCACTCTTTCCTGGTTGGATAGATTTTATATTTTTGGGGACTGAGAGGAGAAATTTCTGGATGTTGTTAAGGTAGCTTTGGCTAGGGTGACTTTAGATCATATTCCGTTGGTCTTGGATTATGGGGGGTTGAGATCTCAAAGAACGCCGTTCAGATTTGAGCATTATATCCAGTAATATCTATAATATTGTAATTCATAGAGAATAGTATTGTAATTTAAAATTTTACATTGTTTTGACCATTATATCCAGTAATATCTATAATATTGTAATTCATAGAGAATAGTATTGAAATTTAAAACTTCTGTAAAATATGATAGCATTTAATTTCCCTCCCCCCCCCCCCCCCTTTCTTTCATCCATTTTTTTACGGATGAAAATTTGTAAAGAATAAAGAATGACACATCCCTCTTATTATCTTTTCTTTCCTTGTATCATTTCTACCGAACAAAGGAAGTTTGTTCATTTCTTTCTATTTTCTTTCCACACCTCGTCCTTCCTACCTACCAAACAAAGCATAAGATGTCTCATCCATTCATCCCCTCTTCCCTTTGTCCATTTTCCCATCACTCTCACCAAGTAGAGCACTAGGCGACTTAGAAGGTCGCCTTAGGCCCCAACCAATAAGAAGATTGCAAAAATTTTCATTTCCTTATATATTATAACCTCTTTAAAAGATTTATTTCATCTATTATTAAACCTCAACAAACAAAGAGATTTAATGGTGGGCAAGTGGTGCGGTGAGCCCGGGAAAATGTAAATTTTATCTGTAGTTGGTGGAGAAACCATTACTGGTATGCCATTCAACTCCAATTTTGTTATTCAGAAGCATGTAATGAAATTTTTTTGAAAGCCTAATTTATTTAATCATTTTGTTTTAAGAAAAAACACAAAGTCCAGTCTTCTGATGTTCGATTTGGTTATTTTTTATTGTTTAAAACCATACATATACTATCTGTAATGTGTTGTATTATGATAGTATTGTTAGTTACAATAACTCAATCCCAATTGATTTTTCGGTTAATCGATCTAAATTTCAGTTTGGATTATTATTTTTTAAACCTAAACAATACAACGAAGATTAAATCAGGTAATGTATTAAATACTTATTGCTATTCTTAATTTTAGACCTATAATATTTTGTATTAAGGTGATATCAGGTAAATGTATTAAACAATGCTTATGTACTATTCTTAATTATGGACCTCTAATATTTTTGTTTGTAGTGGCTGTTGTGTGTTACAAATGCTATATGCGATGATGTATTGTGCGTGGAATTTCAAAGTTTAAAAAGCGAGCTTGGAAAAAAGTAACCCTTTTTACAGTCTACAAATTTTACTATATTTAGTATAATATGTTTGCTTCACTTGAGTAATATTATTATGCTATTGTATGCATGTGATGACTGCTGTGTATTACAAATGCTATATGGGATGATACATTTTAAGTGGAATTAAAGTCTAAAAAGTGAGCTTGAAAAAAGGCGACCCTTTTTTTTTACTGTCTCCAAATTTTATAATGTTTAATATAATATTTTTACTTCATTTGAGTAATGTTATTGTACTATTGTGGTGGTTGTTATGTGTTACAAATTCTATATGGGATTATGCATTTTGAGTGGAATTTGAAAGTTTGAAAACTGAGCTTGAAATAAGGTAACCTTTTTACTATCTACAAATTTTACAATATTTGGTATAATATGTTTGCTTTACTTGGTTAATGTTATAGTGCTAATGTGTGCATGTGGTGGCTACTTATTACAAATGGGACTTGTCCCACATCGGATTTGGATGGGAAATGAAATGAGTTTAAATGGGTAGGTATGCAACACTACCTAACAGTTTGAGCTTTTGGGTAAATGAATAAGCATCCACCCATAATAGTTGATATCAGAGCCAGACTCATTTCTTGATCCGATCCCACGCCAAGTGCCCGGCCGGGAAGGCGTTTGGATGAGCCACCCGGGTAAGCAAGGTGGTCCGACCTCAATGAGAGCGTTGCGCAGGTTTGGGTGGGAGAGAATGTTACAAGTGGGACTTATCCCACATCGAATTTGGATGGAAAGTGAAAGGAGTTTAATTAGTGAATATGCAGCACTACCCAACAACTTGAACTTTTGGGTAATAAGCAAGCGTCCACTCATTACGCTACTATAACAATTAATCATTTCAGTGTACTTAATGTCATTATTTGCTATTAATGGGAATTTTGTTTGAATTTTTTTATGGGAATTAATGTTAAAGATAACTAGAAAATGAAAATTTTAAAATGGGCATATATATACATTGTGGTTGACTATTGGACATTATTGGTGAAGGTGGTGGCTATTATGACTACTATAAATGGGGCACATACATTGTGGTTGACTATTGGATATTACTTATGCTTAATATTACTTTAACTAAAACAGTGAGTGTTTTATTGTAATGACTTAATGATGACAAATTTATGTGGGAGTTAATCATTGACCTTAGGTTTACTGCTTGGTAGTTGTTATCAATGATTGTTGGAAGATTTTCTTTGAAATTTTTTATGGGAATTTATAACTGGAAAATAAGGAATTTAAAGCTATTATTGGTACCTGCTAATAGGTTTTTTGTTGAATATAATTTTTTTTTTTTTTTTTTGTTGGAATTGATGCTTATGAAAAATGAGGATTTAAAGTGGTTGATGCTTTTGGGTCTAAATGTATGTGGTCACTTAGTCTGAAAAAAAGTGAACATGTCTATCTCATTTTTAAGTTTTAGTATCATTTTTAGTTGTTACTAATTACTGCTAATAGACAATTTATTTCTAATTTTTTGTGGGAATTCATATTAATTATGACTGGAAAAATAAGGAATGTAAAAGTGGATAATGTTGCGAGGGGATGCTGAATTGGATTGGTTATTCATGGTGTTTATGTTGTTTCAAAATACTTATTGATAGAAAGTTCTGTAAGTTTCCCAAGAATATTACCATTAATATCAAACTTATCACCATCTATTAAAGAAAATAAATTAACGACGACTTAACAAAAATTCATTAAGTAGTAGAAAAATATCATCAAAAGGTTTGTTGAAGAGATTAAAATTTAAAAGTAGTTAGTTAGTGAACCTACACAGGTCCTAATACTTTGCCAGGCGTTTCTTGTATTCGTTCTTCTTTCTTGACATGAGACGGAGGTTAGCTAGCAATATACAAAGACCAAATCCATAGCTCTACTTGTAGTCAATTTGGGTTTTTATTTTATTTTATTTTATTTTTTATTTTTTTATGCTTTAACTAAGAGAATTTGTAATCCAATTTATTTTGCTACAAGATGATGATACGGGCTGCAGAAACAACTTGAATGTTAAAGCTTGTAACATTAGTATTGAAGCACCATGATTAGCCCATCATGAAATTGGTTCCTTGTGATACCCCTCGACTTCGAGACGTGGGTTAATCAGGCCTAAGCCCGAACCCGAAGGAATATCAAACAATTAATATTTAAATGAACACAGATTACAAAATGAATTAAGAAATAAATAATTAAAAGCTGAAAAAATTCTAAAATATAATTAAATGCTCAAAAATCCAACAATCCAAAATCTCCAATAGTTTAACAACTCAGAAATCCATTCAGTAACAGTAAAGATAAAACTGAAACTAAAATCCAAAGCTAAGACATGAAATGAGATCTTACGTCGTCAGAGGAATAAGTGACTGTCTCTGTTCAGCACGATCAAGCCAGGGACTGGAACTGTCGAACACTTGAAAAATAGAAGTGGGTCAAGCCTACGAATAAGTTCTATCCTACTACAATTCGAACAGAGACTTGATACGCATGTACATCCTAAACAACTCAACAATAGGTATGTAGTTCGTACATATATATATCCACACTGCGGGACTCTCACTGGACTATGAAGAGGGTCTCAACCTGAAAAGAAGGCAACATGCAAAACGCACCTGAGTGGACATGAGTACCTAAACCTAACAGGGTATACCTCAACCAACATAGCCAACTACGCATCCTATTGCATATACGCTCCCTAATCGTCGACTCTAAGACTCAAGCTCATATCGCGGTACCATAAATATATATTTAAAGTCCTATCCTATTCATCCATAAGAAATCCAGTTAGTCGTTCAGTTTGTTCAGCTGCACAGACTTAAATATAAGTAGGATTTTATATTTATAATCCATTCCCTTATTCTGTATAGGTAGGATGTAGTATTTTGAAACTAATCCGTCCCTAGTATGCCATCGTTCCATACTAGTGCATACAATCTATACATCCAGCAGTTGACATTACAGACCACGAATGTAAATATCAACTAATCCATAAATGTAAAAGAAATCCAGTTAGTCGTTCAGCTTATTCAGTTGCACAGACTTAAATATAAGTAGGATTTTATATTTATAATCCATTCCCTTATTCCGTATAAGTAAGATATAGTATTTTGAAACTAATCCATCCTTAGTATGCCACCATCTCATACCGGTGCATATAATCCAGACATCCAGCAGTTTATAAAACAAATAATAAATGTACATATCAACTGATCCATAATAAGCATAAACATAAGGGAAAAAATCACTGAACCCCCCTCAACTTTCATTTTTAATCAAATTGCCCCCACTAAAATTAAACACCCCCCTCAACTTTAAACTGTCATCACATTGCCCCCTTTCCGTTCAAACCCATTAGTAGTGCATGACTAACACGGACTTTTCAAAAAAAAAATTTCTCTAAAATACCCCTTCCCTGTCCTCTATGTCACCGTGTAGGGTTAAACAAGGTATTAAATTTAAAACAGTAATCTTCTTCCTCTTCGTCCCTCTCTCTCTTTACCATTTCTTTCTAAAACCAGACCCATCAAAGAAACAAAGCAAGCATGGGCCAAACCTGCACCTTCTGATTAACAAGTCAGTTAAATAAAAGGGGCGCCTGCTGATTAAGAAATCCAAGATCTTATGCCGAGAATCTAATTCCACCAATGGATAAGATATCTGAAATGAACAAAAATTGGTAGTTGAGCTTTGGCCAGCATCCATGGAGTTTGATGTTGTTGAAGCTTTTGGTTTTGATAATGGTAAAGCTTTCTGGTCTCTCCCTTTTTCTTCTCTCTCAAGCTTGTTCCATTGACGTACCTTCAGCCATTTTTATACTCAGTCCATGAAACCCAAAATTACATACCATTTTTATACTCTTTCGCCGGAGGAGCTGAAGGAGTGATGGTGATCAGAATTTTTTTTTTTTGTTTTTTTGGTTTAAAGAATTTTACTTAATCCTTTGGTTGGTTTCTAAGAAAATTAAGGAAAGTGAAGAGTAATATAAGTTTCTTTACTGATTCAAAATTGTGCAGATGCATCTTCCTTCCTTTACAGATCAAAGTCCCAGACTTTGTTACACCACAAGATGAGACTCATCAGCAACCAAACTCAACATTGTGAAATTCCCAAATTGGCTTTGAATCTCAGCTCCAATTTTACTACCACCCTAGCACATGGTTGTTCATCACTATCCCACAAGAGAACCCTCCACCGGAGGTGATCGTACTGAACTTCAACGCCATCTCTGTTTCTTCCATAACACCAAAATGCAGGGAACAATGGTGACAAATAAGTAAAGGAAAGAGACGTTGGTGGAACTTTTTATTTTTTATTTTTTTTTTTCTTGTTAAGTTGCTGCAATATATGGTCACTTCCCACTCCAATTTGCTTTCCCATTTTGTATTAAGCTGCTGCAATATATGGAGCAATGAAGAACCTACCAGCGATGATGGAACTAACCAGCGTCAAATGAATCTGGTGAAAGGCTATAAGCAAGAAGGATGACGGCAAGCACGACAAGTTGCAGCGACGGAAAACAACGATGGGCAAGGATGAATGGCTGACGGCAAGCTCGGAACGAAGCTTATTATGGAGGCGCGGGAACGACAGTGAGCAAGGTGTTCTCGGCGATGAAACAACGAGCACACCGGACGAGGGCATACACACTGTGATTAGTGATCAGTATTTCAATAAACCCCAATGCATGGAACTTGGGTGCAAACTTCTCCGACGAAGACGAACTGTTTTCAATAAAATCCTCCATAATCAAAACTATTTTTGCTCAATTGCTTCAAAATTTGCTGATTAGTGCATCCAATAACTCGTCAAAAACTCCTCTCCATGCCCAATCGTCTCCGAATCCCAAATCACTCGTCAAAAACTCCTCTCCACGGCCCAATCGCTGCTAGAATCCAGACCCTTCGCTGGAGAATTTTGTCAGATTCTCGAGTCAGAGCTTGGTCGCCGGAGAATTTGTCTTTCCAAAGGGGTTTGGTCGCTCTCTACCTTAGGTATTTTGTGGTGTGTTTGGCGGGAGACAAGGGGTTGAAAAGGGTATACGACCGCATTTTGTTGCTTAGAAATAAAACATTTATTTTGTATTTAAATTTCATATAATATTATGGGGGGTATAGTTGTCATTTCATGGCAGGTTAACGGGTTTAAACGAAAATGGGGCAATGTGATGACGGTTTAAAGTTGATGGGGGTGTTTAATTTTAGTGGAGGCAATTTGATCGAAAATGAAAGTAGAGGGGGGTTCGGTGATTTTTCCCCTAAACATAATATATAAATTAACATGCTTAGTACAGTAATTGATAAATCTAATTAAATGTATACATCAATTAATTTGATGTCAAACATAATAAAAATAGATAAATTATCATGCTCTTCCTAAACCACTGATACAGAATTATACAACACTTAAAAATGCAGATAATAAATCTAACCGTCCATTAATCCATGATAAGCATAATAAAAATATATTAATTCACATACTTATCTACCACCATTGGTACATGATTAACTGTAAAATCATTCACAGAGAATGGCGAAACCAAGGTTTAGTAATTTAATATCATCCGCACCCAAACAGTAAACCAATTTATTTAAAAATTATCTATCGTTCAAGCTATAAACATCTATTGATTTACTATGTATTAACCTACCTTCGGATGTTTTAATATGGCTTTAGACATTATTGGACACCCCTAATATACCTCCTACCTGCATCCGGAAACTCCAAAATCCAAGCCCGTAACCAAACATCTCACGGGAAAGCAAAAAAAATAAAAAATAAAAACTGAAGGAAAATTGATGGAGCTAGCTCCAAAAAAGTATGGAACCTCCTCCACCCACATGGAGCCGCCTCCAATAAGGTATGGAGCCGGCTCCATTCCAATGGAGCCACCTCCATTGAAAGGTGGAGCCG